GCTGTGCTTTCGCTCTCGATATCCGTGCCAGTATCAACTGTGTTACCGTTAAGACCTACTTTTTTTTTGTAGGTCTTACAACTTCCGTTTAGCGCTGCATCGAAATTGTCACTTTTGCGCTTGTTTTTTAAGGACGCACCTCAAATATTGCCACCCCTCCCACATCAGCGCAAGTGAGCTGACGTCAGACAGGTAAATCACCGAACCTGACGTCAGGGTAAATCACAGAACCTGGCGTTAGGGCTTTACAATGTAAGCGTGGCAGTTTTTATATGTCGAAATTGCAAACTAACGTGCATTTGACACATGCGCCTCCTTAGCGCCAGCCGAAAATAGAGCCCTGAATGATACTGTAATAAATGATAATTGATGAATCGGTGAAGAATCATGACTCATCATGAATCCTGAATAAGTTCAATGAATATGTATATAGGACAGGTGAAATGTATACAGTTATATATATATATATATATATATATATATATATATATATATATATATATATATATATATATATATATATCTATATATATATATATATATATATATATATATATATATATTTATATACAGTATGGTCATTTGATCCAAAACAATGTAAACAACTGCTGGAGAAATCTGGAGGGAAGAACAAAGCTTTCATTTGGATAGAACATGAGAGCACAACCCAACCCTACCTGTACCCAGAACCGGAGTGAGCCGAGTGGGGTTCTTCAACTGGCACACTAGGGAACAGACGGTAAGAAGAGACAGAACACTACCACTCATTCTCCGTCTCTTATGGTAATAATACCCCACAGATACACCACAGTACACAGCGTTAAGGCAATCTCACCGTCATGGGGAATGGCATAATGCACGGCTTTCCAGGCTTATCCTGTTGAGCCATTGTTGCTAAAAGCTAACAAGTGTCCTTGTAAGCCATCACCAGGTCTTAGGCTAACCATCTGACTTGCTGCAGAGTAAATTAAAAGCTTAAAAAGCACAAGTAGCACCAAACGCGTTGGCAGTGCTCCATATCTACTGTGGTACAAACTGGTGCAATTTAAGTGAAGCATCAGGCTGAAATAGTAGCAGGCAGGTAGAAAACCAACGCATACGGGGGTCTTTCAAGTCCACTCTGTATGCTTCCTGCCTGGCACTCCAATGCCATGTCTGATTCAATAACAGCTTGGAGTGTGAATTGTCATAGAACTCTGAGACGAGGTCTGAAGCCTGAGAAACTACTCTGCATGTTGAGGCTTCTCCCTCTGAGAAGAGGTCTGACTACTCTACTCTTCTTCTCTTTATGATGCTGGTACTTCTCTTCTCTTTATGATGCTGGTACTTCTATTCTTCTCTTTATGATGCTGGTACTTCTCTTCTCTTTATGATGCTGGTACTTCTCTTCTTCTCTTTATGATGCTGGTACTTCTCTTCTTCTCTTTATGATGCTGGTACTTCTCTTCTCTTTATGATGCTGGTACTTCTCTTCTCTTTATGATGCTGGTACTTCTCTTCTCTTTATGATGCTGGTACTTCTCTTCTCTTTATGATGCTGGTACTTCTCTTCTCTTTATGATGCTGGTACTTCTCTTCTCTTTATGATGCTGGTACTTCTCTTCTCTTTATGATGCTGGTACTTCTCTTCTCTTTATGATGCTGGTACTTCTCTTCTTCTCTTTATGATGCTGGTACTTCTCTTCTTCTCTTTATGATGCTGGTACTTCTCTTCTCTTTATGATGCTGGTACTTTTCTTCTCTTTATGGTGCTGGTATTTCTCTTCTTCTCTTTATGATGCTGGTACTTCTCTTCTTCTCTTTATGATGCTGGTACTTCTCTTCTTCTCTTTATGATGCTGGTACTTCTCTTCTCTTTATGATGCTGGTACTTCTCTTCTCTTTATGATGCTGGTACTTCTCTTCTCTTTATGATGCTGGTACTTCTCTTCTCTTTATGATGCTGGTACTTCTCTTCTCTTTATGACACTGGTACTTCTCTTCTCTTTATGATGCTGGTACTTCTCTTCTTCTCTTTATGATGCTGGTACTTCTCTTCTCTTTATGATGCTGGTACTTCTCTTCTTCTCTTTATGATGCTGGTACTTCTCTTCTCTTTATGATGCTGGTACTTCTCTTCTTCTCTTTATGATGCTGGTACTTCTCTTCTCTTTATGATGCTGGTACTTCTCTTCTCTTTATGATGCTGGTACTTCTCTTCTCTTTATGATGCTGGTACTTCTCTTCTCTTTATGATGCTGGTACTTCTCTTCTCTTTATGATGCTGGTACTTCTCTTCTCTTTATGATGCTGGTACTTCTCTTCTTCTCTTTATGATGCTGGTACTTCTCTTCTCTTTATGATGCTGGTACTTCTCTTCTTCTCTTTATGATGCTGGTACTTCTCTTCTCTTTATGATGCTGGTACTTCTCTTCTTCTCTTTATGATGCTGGTACTTCTCTTCTCTTTATATCTTGTTTTTTTCCCTCTGCTCACAAGGGCATTGTGTTTCAGTAGCTTATCATAGGGCTTGCTGGCTTTAAAGCTCTATACCCCCCCCCCCCCCCCCCCCCACTCATGGCCATTTCTAGTTAAGACCTCAGGTCGAGGCTTTGTTGGGCCTAATGTGATTCTACATAGTGGGCTGCTGCTAGGTGGGTTAGGGGTCCTTCCCAATCCTATTCACTGGCCTGTTGATCCATGGTGGAATAAGCTGAACTTTGCAGGTGAAGTTGAATTTGTGTTGAAGGGAGTTTCAAATACGTTTTGGTTTAGTTCTATTTCATGTCTGGGATTGGTCATGATATCAGATTTTTTATTTTTTCTATGATATGTTTCTATTATATTGGAATGTAAGAAAGTTGTGTAACTATGTAATCACAGGTGGCATTTTAAATGTGTATCTGTATGTGCTGTAGGTCTGCTAGTCACAATATGCATTTCGAATAGATGGCTATTAGTGATCATTTGACATCATTCACCCCAAATGTAACCCTCTTACTCAACAAAAAAAAGATTCCCATCAAATCTAATAGCCAACGCTGAAATGTTATTGTATAATGCAATATCATTTCACATGCATAGTGACAAAACTGTAATGTAAATTGTAATGATTATTATATAATAGCCCGCCCTTCAAACGTATTCAATAGATTTAGATATTCTGTTAATATTAGGGGTTATATGAAAGGCTACCTACAGTCAGCGGAGGGAAAGAAGCGATCTTCTCTGCCCGGTTCCAAACCCTTTTATACCTACCGTGTGGCCTAGGCCTGCTAAGGAACCAGAGCCCAAGGTCAGAATGATGTCCATGAGATGTTTTCAGTTTAGTTTTAAAATTCATACGGGGCCCGCCATTGTACAGTCACTTGCTCATAATCAGTCCTTTAAAGCAGCGACATGGATGTATGTTAACTGCACCTGTCCAATGTATTAGGGGTATGGAATGGGTAAGTTGCTGTTATGCGTAACGCTACATGCCATATGTCAAGTCAGCACAGACAGCTAGCCTATACAAGCCTACAGAATTATATAACCAACACATTTTCACTATAGTAACTACGATAGCCAATGGCTTGCATTTCGTCTGCTCTATAAAGGAATGTATCATACATCATCAAAGCAATGCGCCAACACGCAGTAGTCTATACGGGATGTTGATATAAAAGTTACTGAAGGCCAGAACGGTTTTTAACATGTCCGTGTTCATACCTATAGATATAATGCTGTTTTTAATGACATTCATACGTTACATCTAAAACCGAGTATACTTCTAATCATAGTGATATAGATATATATATATATATATATATATATATATATATATATATATATATATATATATATATATATATATATATATAATTTAATTTTAATCGCGTTCCATATGAAATCACTAGGCCTAAAGCAGATGTAAAATTATGGGATGATTGCAGAACGAAGACGAAGAGATGTGCAGACTATATTATTGACGTCATATGGCTTAGTAACTGCTATCACTAATGTTATTTTAACCGAGTCAAGTTACATAAAAACACGGAACAGTTGCACTATAGGCCTACGGAGGTCTACAATAATAGGATGAATGCATCGCGAGGACCAAGAGAGGCGCAGACTATATCTGCGGTCACATCAGTGAAATAATCCTGGAGATATATTTCTACATATGGCGTTGTTTTACATAATAATATTTAAGAAAGGGACAGGACACATACAATTTTGATAGATAATTCGGAGACCACGGTACAATCGTTTTTTTTTTGTTTTTTTTTACTTCAGTAAAGAAAGTTACACAAAAAGTGGCAAGCCTTTCAACAATAAATAATAAATAATTTTGTTTAACAGGAAAAAAAAAAAAAAAAAAAAAAACGGTCATTATAACTTATAACTATACACATCTTTGGAAAAGAAAAAATAATAATATTGAATGGACACAAACTCACACATAAAGGTCCCACGTAGCTTGTGACGTAATAGAGGTATACCTTGTTGCAATGCTTTAGTAGACCTACTTGGGCTTTACCAAGGAGATAATAACAAAACAATTGAATAGCAATATTTGCAATACCCTCCAAACGGCATCATTTCAGGGGGGGCGAATCTCAGGTCAAGTTATTTTATAGAAACAGAATCGCCAGACAGACAGTCAGTCATTTGTTTGTATATTCAAACACTATGCACGACAACGCGCAAATGTAGAATCAGATTTCATCTTCATTGACAAAGTTCATATTTTTCCTAGAGGTCCATTGGTCCAGCATTTTGTCGAAGTATATGTATGGTGTTGTATTTCTTTGTATATCTTTTTGTTGTTTTTTTGTTGCAAAACTGTAACCCAGGCGTTTCCACCCGGCAGCACCAGTCATGGATGACGTAGTGAGATCTACACATCTCGTTATGCATGAGTCGCAGACACGTTATGGTGCAGGCAGATGCGCTCTCCGCCGCTCCTGGAAACACGCTTCTTCTTCTAGGGCTCTATTCAATCCGTGTAGCGTGACTGAACGTTAAAGGCGACGTTCCCGCGTTAGCGGAGACTGCATTCGTGGTCAAAGCTGCATATGTCGGCTCAATAGAAAATTAGCTTTAAATGTACATCACGCAATCCGTAACGCTTCGGCAATACAGATTGAATAGAGCCCATAGACCACGCCATTGTCCTCTCCTTTCATCTTCTCCGGGGGTTGTTTTGCGGCGGGTGGACAGACGGACGTATGACGGACATATGGACAGATCTAGGTAGGGTAATAATCCATGATTGTCTTCACAGTGTAAAACTACAACCAGGGGGTTGTTTCGTCGTTAAAGAGGCTTCGTGCAGTTGGAGGAGGAGGATTCTATTTTATCTCTCAGTTTGAATGAAATCAACAAGAGAGTGACATTTTGTTTCTTTCAACCCCAAGTCAATTTTTCCGTTTTCAGTCAGTCCGCCCTTTGCCCAACTAACATCACTTCATCATCAGTCAGAAATATGACGTAGTCTGACGGAGTCTACAGTCGGTCCGCGAGGCCCCTATGCCTCTATAGGGCTCGAGACCATGCTGTTGGGTGTGTCCGGAAGTTGGGATGACATGGAGGCGACTTCGCTCCCTGTCGAGTTGGATCCAGGGCCCCCCTCCGAGAAATGGACCTGAACAAAAAAGAAAGGAACAATGCAATATTTAGGATTTCTTTATTCAACATATCAATAAAAGATTTCACAATACAATAGAATAAAAAGTAAAATGTCTGCCCTCCACACATCGACCCATGTGAATAGCCTAATTACAGAAAATAATATCAAACATTATAAACTTAACACGACAATAACCTAACCGTTACTCGTGATTTCGTTTCTCACTGTCTACCAGACAGACATTTTAGCGTTATAACACAGCCTACCGTCTCCTCTATCTGGACTCACCAGTTGTTGAAACGCGGGTTGGTCCATGTCACTCTGTAACGCGAAGTCACTGAGGACCTTCCAAGGCGGCTGGTAACTCTGCACCTCCACTGGGTTAGCCTGCAAACCACCGTCGTGTCTCTCCGGGCTGGCCGCCACCATCGGAGTGCCAGTCATTCCCTGGATATTCTGCAGATAGTCCCAGAGAAACTGATCGTCATATAAAGTTCAAAATTAGCACGCCAACATTGACCCAACAACAGAAACACAACATTAGGTGTTTAGAATATGATGGAGATGTTTATGCTTAACGATCATGTAGACCTGTGTGTGTGTGCGTGTGCGTGCGCGCGTGTGTGTGGCTTAAATAAAAGGGCACGTATGCGCCTGCATGTGGATATATATTATGCATCCCCATAGGCAGACGTATAGGATCAAGTCCCTCTTTTTATTTCACCCCAGTTATTTCATGAAAACAAAATGACCAGACAAGAATAGAAGTATTCTAATGAAACAGTTACAACAGCTATCAGCATTTCGACCGATAAGAACACCACTGTATTGAATCCTTTATTTAATAAAGACCAGACAGGGTTCTCACCGTTTTGTCGTTCGGCTGCTGCTGCTGTAACTGTTTCATCAGAATACTCCTCTTCTTGTCCTTGCAGCGCTTGTTTTGGAACCAGACCCGGATGACTCGGGGACTGAGGCCGGTCATCTCGACTAGCTGCTCCTTCATTAGAGCGTCGGGCCTGGGGTTGGCGTTGTAGCAGGTCCGCAACGTGTGGAGCTGCTTTTCGTTAAGGACCGTCCGGACGCGAGTGGTCTTTTCCGGTTGTTTGTGGACGTGCGGTCGGAGCGCGGGCTGTCTGGCTGATATTGGTTCTGCTGTTGAGAAAGAGAAGAGGGACGACAAAATAACACATTTATTTATCGGCACTTCAACGCCGTGGCTATATAAAGACACTGTGTTGGAGACTAAAGTTGAGATGACAAAAAATATATATACACTGTGGAAAGTATACCAGCACCAATCACTCACGGTAGCCTACAAGGTAGGCCTATGGGCCTCAATCTTTTACCAGAACATTTCACATTTTTAGTCATTTTAGCAGACGCTCTTATCCAGAGCGACTTACAGTTTAGTGAGTGCGTACATGTTTCATACTAGAACGACGCCTAGTACGGAGTATCCATTCAGCCTAGTGTTATCCGGGCCTTACGGCAATATTTTAGTACATCAACTATCAACCAACCCCCATCCTTGACTAATCATTCTCACTTCTGTTCCAATTTCAGTTGTCCAAACTTCTATGTGGCCTACATTTTTCCATTGAAGCCACGTGATACTGTCTAAAAAAATGAAGTAAAAATCAACAACAGAGAAGGAGCATTTGTCATTATTATATCCTACAGTTTACAGCCTTCCACTGGGGTTTGAAATGAACGCCCACAATTCATAGCTACCCTATTAAGCAAGGATACATTGATATTAGCCTATATATCCGTTTTTTTAATAACTTTTAGTGATTGTGCATTCTCCCTTAGTTTTAGCATATATGTCTAAATTACTTGTATTGAAAAAGGGGTTGAATATTTGCTGCCTTAACGTGGACCAGGGTGCCGGCAATGGGCGAGAGTGGACTGTCAAACACGTTGTATTTTTTTTTTTTTTTAGATACATCAAGTCGAATACGGTTCTCACTAGATTTTGGTGCAATATCTTTTGATGTAAATAATTCATTATGAACGAAGTCTCGTCAAAAATAATGCTGTGGCTATCTGCCGAGCTTGGGTTATGTAGTCTGTTTTCCAATCCAGCTATAACTTCAGCACAAACTTCGACTTCGGTTACACATAGGCCTAAGATGTATGCAGCCTGAGGAAATAGTATATTCGACTATTTTAAGAGCATGGCCAACTAACTGGCTTGAACAACTCGCCCAAAAGCCACATAATACAATTATATCATTATTGTGGCACGTTCACAAATGTAGGTTACATTTAATCTAGGCTATAGGCCCCTAAACTCCAGTACAAACAAGACGTATAATATAATATCCATATGTAGACTACGGACTGTTCTTTTATGGTGATGCTTCGAAACATCTAACCAGCTCAAACAAACAAAACACAATTTTACATCTAAATTCCTAGGGCCCCTCATAATTCAGCTAGGCCTATTGAAAGAAAGACTTTGCTCAGATATTCTCCCCCTTGCCAGGGACCTTGACAAAGAGCACTCGCATATTCGAATGATTTCATAAGTGACATGCACCACCATATTGACCTAATAATAATCAAATATATACAATTGTATATTATGACTTCATTCCTCATTTGTGATTCACAACAATGTCGCGCCGCTTATTATACCAAGTAATGTAGGCTATATATATATATATATATATATATATGACATATAAACAACTATATTAGCCAATAGTTATGTAAGCTATAGATTTTGGTGACATGTAAAGAAATATATTAGACAATAGATGCGCATATCATATTCAGATGATTCCAGAATGTATTTAGAGTTGAACGTTTTAATTGAAACGCAGCCCCTACTGTTGAAATAAACTCGGTACATCATGACAAGTTACTCCCATAAAACGTTTCGTGGTATTTGTTTATATATTTGTTCATATAGTGTTACGGACATTGGAAAACGTAGGCCAATTGAAACTTTTGTATCTATGATGCTGTACATTCATCGGTGTCTTTATGTGTTCAATATCAACAGCCCCTATTCAAAAAGAATCCAAGCAATGCTCATTGACTGAAAACAAAGTTTCCAACGAATACAACATCAACCGAATTGCCAACACCTACAACGCATATAATTACAAGCCAACAGAAAGCAACAAAAAAACAGCACTGCCATTGATATAAAGTGTTAACCTACCTGCCATTTGTAAAGGTCGGGCCGGGTGGAGGGGGCTGAGTGGGTCTCCGGCGCCCATTGTGGCCCGCTCCACGACGTCATGGTCGGCCCGGCAGAACAAGCCGTCCTCCCTGAGAGCGAACTCGTCCCCCGGGATGAGCTGTCGGCTGCAGGCCACACACCGAAAACACTCGATATGGTACACCTTGGAGCGCGCTCTCATCACGAAGTCATTCTTGCTGAAACCGATGTTGCATTTAGCGCACTTTATCCCGTATAACCTGGAGGGTTAGGAGAGATTAGGTGACCGGTTAGAGTCGGCTAACGGTGTCACAAGGCCCACGGCCCACTGCTAGGCGTTACTGTGGCTGGGCAGCGCGCATAACAATAACACGCACATTGGGGCATCTTTTTAAAGCGGGATTGTTGGGCCCTAATATTGAGTTGTGTTTATACCACATGAGAATCACTTGAAATCCGTATAAAATAGTACATGAATAAAAAAAAAACGAAGCACAGACCTATTCTGTGGTAACAGAGAATAATGGAACAAATATCATGAGGGTAGAGCTCTGTGGTCCTCTGTAGCTCAGCTGGTAGAGCACGGCGCTTGTAACGCCGGGGTAGTGGGTTCGATCCCCGGGACCACCCATAGGTAAAAATGTATGCACACATGACTGTAAGTCGCTTTGGATAAAAGCGTCTGCTAAATGGGATATTATTATAGATATAGGGCTATTATACCTAGATATATTCCTAGAGGACTCATAGTAACATTATTATTATTACAGGCTACAAATCGTCGAAAATCTGAATTCAATTGTAGGCTGTTTGTAGGCCCAATGTATTTGGCCAATTTGAGCGATAACAGAATATTTCGATTAAATGTTAATACAATCGATCTATTGACTCACTTTATGGCCATCAATGCAGAATAATATTGCTGTGGGGCCACATTAAATAATTATGTTTCTAAAAACCGTTTTTGTATTGAATGTGCAAACGTGTTCAACGCGTAGCCTCAAGTTCTGTCAAAAACTGTGTCAGTCCTGATGTGGTTTCGACAATAGCTTTTTTCTAATAGAAAACCCAGTTGTGTTCTATTGCTGTAGCTTATGATTATAATAACAATATAATTGGTGGTGATAAAATCCTCAATATCAACCCAGTGTAATATATATTTTTGATGGTAGAATATCTAAATATAACCTACTTTAAAATAGAGTTTTCCCGACCATCAAATATATTAGTCAAGCCAAATTAAATGTTAACGTCCCATGTATAACCATGTTATGATAAGATACACAGTTAATACCTGAACGTGTCAACCAATCAATCAATAACAACCAATGTTTTCAACGCTATGATATTCATAACAAACAGCTCTTACCTGACATAGTCCCTTTTACAGTAGGTTTTCCCGTCTCGGACAAAGCATGTACAGGACTCGTCCAGATACTGATTACACTCTGCACACTTCAAACAGGCAGCGTGCCACTCGAGGTCCGGAGAGACCCGCAGAATATACTGGTCATGGATCTGGTGTCCACAGCCAACACACAGCGAGATCAGCCGCTTTTCTGGAGAACAAAGTCAGGAGAAAAATATTAGAATATATATTAGGAGGATTCTAAAGATGATGTTGAGTATAATGGATGTCCCATAGTGTTGTCGTCAGTAGTGGGGCTACATTTGCCGCTGAGAACGAGCATCTATTCAACAAGGGGAAAAGACTATAATGATAATGTCAACAACAACCATAATAATAATAATAATATTAATTACTTATTTGTTATAATTTATTATAAATAATAGACATTCGTTATTAACGATCATAACATTATTTATGAATGCAATGCAATTACAGACCAGTTTTAATGCGCACTGCTATTCAATGATACAAAGTAACTTTACTGGCATTGAAAGAGTGCATCCTCCTGATAGGAATTGTAAAGAAAATTCAGTGGAAACGTTTCATTGAATGGGACCTGCTACCACAATAAACTCTGCACAAACCGTTGGCAAACCGCAAAGAAAACAAATTGACTTACAAATTAGTCTAATGTAGCCTCAGTTTTGCATCACTCAGAATAGAATAGAATTGACGCTTGATTTGAATGGCATCCCGAGCCAAAACCAGCTCCACTTACTTTTCGGTGGATCCCCCATATCGCCCATGTCCAATAAGTAAGGCGGCGTAAGGTCCACTTTTAAAACGTGGTGCAACAGTTTTGAAGCTGTTTTTTTCCCTCCGGACCGCGGGGTACAGGGCAGTCGCCTGTGTACTGCCCGGTGCTGGCTGATTGTTAACCGGGTGTTGCAGCCGGACTTGTTCGGCGGCGGGGTAGCTGTGTTAGTCGGTGGGGAGGGCGGGGGTGTGAGGGTCTGTTCTCCGGTGCCTGGTCCCTGTGCTGTGATGGGGGCACGCTAGTCCCTATCTCCCACTCAAACTCCCTTGCACCAACTCTACTCTATCGCCATTGGGCTGACGTAGGACACCGAAACGTCATCTTTATGGGATGCTGATTGGTTATGAAGACAGGAGCAGCTGTTGCTGTTAGCCCAGTCCAAGTACCCGCCTACCCAGCTCATTTTCTGGATCACATATACTTCAATCCAACTACCTTCCCAGCCCGGCTCCTATTCTGGATCAGTCCAACTACCCGTCCTACCCGACTCCTATTCTGAATCATTTTGACATTTTGAGTCATTTAGCAGACGCTCTTATCCAGAGCGACTTACAGTTAGTGAGTGTACACATTTTCCATACTGGCCCCTCGTGGGAAGCGAACCCACAACCCTGGCGTTGCAAGAGCCATGCTCTACCAACTGAGCTACACGGGGCTCAGTCTATACTCCACTGAAGCAAGGCTTTTTTTTCTACTTTGTCAAATGATATTAAATTATGAATTTGCATATTCGAGTCCACAAACACAATTCAACAAAGCCATAGGCTACGAGTCCCCCTTATATTTCTGGATTACATTTACATTTTAGTCATTTAGCGGAAGCTCTTATGCAGAGCGACTTACAGTTAGTGCATACATTTTATTAATTTATTTGTGCATACTGGCCCCCGGTGGGAAGCGAACCCACAAGCCTGGCGTTGCAAACGCCAAGCTCTACCAACTGACCTACAGCCTACATGCGGTCTTGAGTAGCTATATTGTTTAACTTTGGCCTGTTAGGATTTACATTATTTATTTTGAAGAGGGAATCAATGTAGCATGCGAGGATGTATAATACTTTCTCTGGCTAACCATAAGGTAACATATTATTAGAATAGAATAGAAAACGTTATTGTCCGTCAGATTACTTAACGCCTTGCATTTTGCGGTAATCTGCTGTACATAGGCCTACAGGGCTATGTCTTTACATGTATTTGTACATTTTGTTTGTTAAAAAGGAACCGAATTACTCACATTATGTAATTATATATATATATATATATATATATATATATATATATATATATATATATATATATATATATATATATATATATATATATATATATATATATATATATATATAACCCCAAACAAAGAGTTTGACTTGGGAAAATATAGCTAGTGTTTTCTATGAATTTTACAGGCATGGTCATAATGTGATTAAAATCAATATTACAGTGTTTAGTCAGTCTGCAGGTTTCTCAACCCAACCGTCATTAGCATATGTAATTGTACATAATGACACCCCTAATCCCGCCGCGACACGGGCTGGAATACAAACTCACATTGTGGGGCATCAGATAATAACCTGGTAGAGAAAGAGACAACATGGGACGGGTTGGCATGATGCGGCTCTCTCAGTAGGCATAGGCCACGCCTGGCCAACTATTTTCAATAGGATGGTTTTGTGTTTTTTTTGTATTATAATTTGTTGACCAATCAGTGTTGTTAATATATCCGATTTATAGGCAAACAATAAAGTGTTGAAATAAGTCTATTCAACATTACTCGATACTGAATCTAAGCTTACAGATCGGAATGACATGGTCCTATTTCTATTTCTGTATATATATATATATATATATATATATATATATATATATATATATATATATATATATATATAGACTACACTTCTCTGATTCTGACCAAACAACCTTTGGCCGATGTCTGAGTAGCTCGCCAGGCCAGCAGTGAATGAATTTAGGAACCAACGGGGCATATTAGACCAAAACACGCCCTCTTGTGTTAGCAGGATGGCCCTATTTAGCAACCCTTTAACCCTGTACACAAAGACACATACAGACCATCATGTAGACCGCTGGTGGCCTCTACAACCCTTATACTGAACAGGCTTTCATTCACAGGCAGGCGTAATTTTAGTAAGGCCATATGGAATAATAGAAATGGTAGGCAGTGGAGAATAATTGCATTACTTTCCCCCTGAAAAGCTTTTTTTTCTGGAGAGTATATTAAAAACCTGGATTCAGTCTGGAGAAAAATATTTGTTGAGTGTCAGGTAGAAGGGGAGGTAGGGAGGAAGAGAGAGAGAAGGGATGGCGAGAGAGAGAGAGAGAGAGAGAGAGAGAGAGAGAGACGAGATGCTCTGCGAGAGACGCGAGATCGAGGAGTGAGTGAGTTGGGAGAGAGAGAGAGATCGATAGTCGTGTTCTGAGGCTTCGCCTAGCTCTCTCCATCGATACATCCTCAGCGATCTGCTCTCTCTCGCTCTCTCTCTCAGCTCTCTTCTCGTCTATCTCTCCTCTTCGCTCTCCTGCTCCTTCTCTCTCTCCTCTCTCTCGCTCTCGCTCTCTCTCCCCTCTCCTCTTCCTCTCTCTCTCGCTCCTCTCGTCCTCTTTTTCGCTTCTGGCCCTATCTTTTGTGTTTCGACCATGATGCTCTACGAATTATTTTAGATGGACACTTTATTATTAGCAGCTCCTTATCTACGACAATTCCTCTTAACAATCTTTTTGTGTTTTACACCAGGATCACAACAGATTCTTTTTATCTTAACAAACTTTTAAAAAATTAAATTTGGGCAAAAAAAAACACCTTTTCTAGAAATGTTTATTTAACTAATAACCTTTTTACTACAGATTGAAATCAGGACACACACGTGTTTTGTTAGTCTTAATATACAATTTTTGGAAATAAATAACACAACGTCACAAGGCATGGTTTATGGGAATTCGATAACTGCGAGACAAAAACCTGTATACAATGTTTTGTTTCATCCTAATATTAACTTTTATTTCAATCCAGTCTGAAATATAAAAACGTGTTTTTGTTTTCTGTGTTTGTTGTGGTGGGGGGATTATAACAATTTTTGACATAATATATAATCAACATTATTTCCCCATTAAGTCCACTAGAGGCAATTTGTCATTTTTGTACTGAAACATGGGTTCCATACCTTTGGCCGAGACAAAACTTTGAACTCGGCTAGCGGAGCTTTCCCTCATAAGTGGGTAAGCCCAAAGACCATAGGGGAAAGAATTCGCTTGGTTTGGTAGTGGGTTTGAGGTGGTGGGGGGGCAGTTCCCCATTATTATGCCACCATTTTAAGATTTACCACCAACTGGAATCCAATTATGTGTGCAGAGGAGCGGGGTGACATCAGAGAACTTAGAAGGTTGAAACACCAGGCCCAAGGCTGCTGCTTTTTGGATAAATTGCAGGGGTTTGATGGGCACAGTGGGGAGTCCCAGCCAACAGAGAGGTTGCAGTAGTCCAGACTGGATCTAACAAGTGCCTGGATTCATCTACGCACTTCCTGTTTTGATGGGGGGGGGGAAGGGAAAGGTCGTACTCTACGCATGTCCTTATAAGCAGTTGTATCAACTCTTACCCTACCGAGATCCAGAGCCGCTGGTTTTCTGTTCTCCCTGATAATTAATTGCACACACCTGTGTCCCTGTCTAATCATACCTGATTAGAGGGTAACAATGAAAAACTAAGTGAACTGCGTCAAGTTCCAGTTGATTTGAGGTGTGGGGCTTAAACAAAAGGCAAACGACTGCAGGAGTGAATTCACTGCTTTGATGTTTGCAGAAACGACCGTTGTGTCCGAGTCAGCCAAGTTTCTTGCATTCTGTGAAGGTTACACTGGGATTTGTCAACCGTGATGGAGAGGTCTTGGAGCGGGCAGGTCTTCCCTGGGAGGAAGAGCATCTCCATTTTGTCAAGGTTGAGCTTGAGGTGGTAAGCCGACATCCAAGCTGAGATGTATGCAAGGCACGCAGAGATGCGTGTCGCCACCTGGGTGTCAGAAGGGGGGAAGGAGAAAAGTAGTTGAGTAGTGACTTCTGCATAGCAATGATAGGAGAGACCATGTGAGGATATGACAGAGTCGAGTGACTAGGTATGAAGTGATATAAGGAGAGGTCCTAGAACCGAGCCCTGGGGGACACCAGTAGTGAGAGCATGTGGTGCAAACACAGATCCTCTCCACATCAAATGGTAGGAGCAGCCTGCCAGGTAGGATGCAATCCAAGAGTGTGCCAAGCCTGAGACGCCCAGTCCTGAGAGGGTGGAGAGGAGGATCTGATGGGTCACGGGGTCGAAGGCAGTGAATAGATCTAGGAGGATGAGAACAGAGGAGAGAGAGTCCGTTTTGGCAGGGTGGAGAGCCTCCATGACAAAGAGAAGAGCAGTCTCGGTTGAGTGACCCGTCTTGAAGCCTGTCTGGTTAGGGTCAAGAAGATCGGTCTGAGAGAGATAACGAGAGAGTTGATCAGAGACAGCACGCTCAAGTGTTTTGGAAAGAAAAGAAAGAAGGGATACAGGTCTGTAGTTTTTGACGTCAGATGAGTCGAGGGTTGGTTTCTTGAAGTGGGGAGCGACTCGGGCTATCTTGAAGTCAGAGGGGATGCAGCCAGTGGTCAGGGATGAGTTGATGAGGGAAGTGAGGAATGGGAGAAGGTCTCCAGAGATGGTCTGGAAAAGGGAGGAGGGGATGGGGTCAAGCGGGCAGGTTGTCGGGTTGTCGGGCGGACGGACATCACTAGTCGCAGGGATGTCATCTGGAGAGAGAAGGGGAGAAAGAGGTCAAGGCGTAGGATAGTTCTGAGTGAGTGAGACCAGCTGAGTGAATGAGGAGCGGATGTCATCAACACTGGTGATGCCCTAATAGATTATTATAGATATGACCTGCCTTTTAGATACTATACCACTGGTGATGCCCTAATAGATTATTATAGATATGACCTGCCTTTTAGATACTATACCACTGGTGATGCCCTGATAGATTATTATAGATATGACCTGCCTTTTAGATACTATACCACTGGTGATGCCCTAATAGATTATTATAGATATGACCTGCCTTTTAGATACTATACCACTGGTGATGCCCTAATAGATTATTATAGATATGACCTGCCTTTTAGATACTATACCACTGGTGATGCCCTAATAGATTATTATAGATATGACCTGCCTTTTAGATACTATACCACTGGTGATGCCCTAATAGATTATTATAGATATGACCTGCCTTTTAGATACTATACCACTGGTGATGCCCTAATAGATTATTATAGATATGACCTGCCTTTTAGATACTATACCACTGGTGATGCCCTAATAGATTATTATTACCTGTCTTTTAGATACTATAATAGTAACAATAAGAAACACAAATAATATTTTGGATAATTTGTTTATTATTCAGGAAATTATTTGATTCACAGTAAAAAATAAAAAATAAAAAATGTATCATTTTTGGCAGATAATTGGATCGGTGCTTTGGTGTCAGTGTGTGTGTCAGAGAGAGAGAGAGAGAGAGAGAGAGAGAGAGGGAGAAAGATAGAGAGAGAGAGAGACAGACAGTGTGTGTGTATCAGTGTGTGTTTGTATCAGTGTGTGTGTGTGTGTATCAGTGTGTGTGTGTGTGTGTATCAGTGTGTGTGTGTGTGTGTATCAGTGTGTGTGTGTGTGTATCAGTGTGTGTGTATCAGTGTGTGTGTGTGTGTGTGTATCAGTGTGTGTGTGTATCAGTGTGTGTGTGTATCAGTGTGTGTGTGTGTATCAGTGTGTGTGTATCAGTGTGTGTGTGTGTGTATCAGTGTGTGTGTATCAGTGTGTGTGTGTGTATCAGTGTGTGTGTATCAGTGTGTGTGTCAGTGTGTGTATCAGTGTGTATCAGTGTGTGTGTGTGTATCAGAGTGTGTGTGTGTATCAGAGTGTGTATCAGTGTGTGTGTGTGTCAGTGTGTGTGTGTCAGTGTGTGTATCAGTGTGTGAGTGTATCTCAGTTCATGGCACATGGCCCAGTACATTCATAACAGCTAGAGATTGCGAGAGTGTTACCTCCCAGGAAAGGTTTATGAATGATGTATTCTCATTGTTTAGTGTACCTGCACCTTGTGTGTAACACCATGTGACCACTGTAACTCATACGATCCCTCCCCTCCTTTCCCTAATCCCCCCGTCCCCCCCCGTCCCCCCCCCCACCGTACTGTAAACATATTGTAGACCTTTAGCTGTCTGAGACACAGCAACTAAGAACAGAGACCAGCCATGCAGGAGAAATGGGACGATGTATGAAGTATGAAAAAAAGTGTCTCGTATGACCCTATTTCTTGTTCCTAACAAATAATTTACGCCCCTTGCGATATTTAACTCATTGTGTTGTGTTTAGAGCTCCAGACAGGCAGCCTTCTTTAATACACATCTCTGTCATATGTAGGTGGACCTGTTGGCCTGTTCATGCCCGGTAGTCGTCAGGACTACCGGGCATGATGACACCCTGCTGCCCCCAGTCCGCCTGGCCTTGCTGCTATTCCAGTTTCAACTGTTCTGCCTGCGGCTACGAAACCCCTACCTGTCCCAGACCTGCTGTTTTCAACTCTAAATGATCGGCTATGAAAAGCCAACTGAGAGACCTGAGCCCTAGGACCATACGTCGGGACTACCGGCCGTGGTGACTCCTTGCTATCCCCAGTCCGCCTGGCCTTGCTGCTATTCCAGTTTAAACTGTTCTGCCTGCGGTTATGGAACCCCTACCTGTCCCAGACCTGCTGTTTTAAACTCTAATGATCGGCTATGAAAAGCCAACTGAGATTTATTCCTGATTATTATTTGACCATGCTTGTCACTTATGAACATTTTTGAACATCTTGGCATGGTTCTGTTATAATCTCCACCCGGCACAGCCAGAAGAGGACTGGCCACCCCTCATAGCCTGGTTCCTCTCTAGGTTTCTTCCTAGGTTTTGCCT